GTTGGCAATTTGAATTATAGCGTCAATTCTTTTTATTTGGTTACTATATCGGTTTTCCCATTTATATTTAAATGCATTATTTTGTTCAGTTAATTCTTTATTTATTTTATTGATTTCTTGAACATGATCCCAACTTTCTATTACATAATCGTACGCATATTCTAGTTGTTTTTTAAGGTCTTCTACCTCATTTATTTTCAAATTTAACTGTAATTGAAGTAGATTAATACGAGCTTCGAGAGTATGCAACATATTATCAGATACTTGAACACCAATCTCATGGGTTTCATTGCTAACTTGCACAGCGACCTCATTAGTTTGTTTATTAGCTTGCAAGCTATTACATACATCTATTTCAACTGTTACAGCAGGCTCCGTATGAGCCTGCTCTTCGGCAAATTTATTACTAACTTTTCTTTTACCACGTCGATTACTAGTACTAGGCAAATTTGAATTTAAAAGAAGTTGACGTAAAAAATCAGATGCAATTAATTGATTATAATGTATTTCGCATAAAGAATATTCTTCTAAATGCATTTGAATTTGAACCAACTCAGAAAAAAAGGTATGATACAATTGAAGACGACTTTTTGATTTTTCACTATTCGCATGCCTTTTAGTTTGTGATTCTTTCGTTTCACATCCTAACAACCCAACACCTTCATATTTTTCAAAAAAAGTGGCAAAGACACATGGTAGGTCTTTTGCTTTTGGTCGTTGGTTAGCTGCCACTAATAAAAAAAAAATTATATGAAACTAAGTGTTAGTATCAGCGATTTTGATATAAGTACATAGTGTTTTGGAAAATTCTGCTTTTATCCCACATTCTTTTAAAACTAGTTTTTCGTCTTCAGCAAGAGACGAAAAATATTTAGAAATGAATAAAGGCCTTTTTTCGAATGAGAATGGATTTTGCCAAAGAACAGGAATTGACATTTTGCACCAATGTTGGCTTACAAGTATGCACGAATGTAATCAAATAAATTTCTACTTACTAATTCTTATATTCTCAAGCCAATACTGCAATACAGAAGTAATACTAGCGGCTATATAATACCAAAATGGTATATTAATAAAAAGAGGAGGACCGGCATTAACAAAGTAACGATCAGGGCAGAAAGAGGAACAGCGTTTAGGCTCAGGGCAGAAAGAGGGACAGCGTTTAAGCTCAGGGCAGAAAGAGGGGACGGCGTTTAATAAAGTAAAGTTCAGGGCACTTATAATAATGAAGGGGACCGCGACGCAAGATCAGGGCACTTATTTGTGCGTATTCCACTAGAAAAAAAGAAAAAAATTAAACTTTAATAAATTTTATAATTTCAATAGCTTAAAAAAGCCCCCGCGTTTGCTATACTTATAATTTTCAAAAGCGAGTTGATTATAGAAAAGTTTTGACTGATTATAAAACTACTTGCTTGGAACTTCCTAGTATCATAAGAGCTCCTCATGTTATAAAGACAATCCGTGTAAATCTATCATGTGAAACTCAT